ATTATCATCAAGAGACACAAAGCATACAAGATTAAAACAAATAAAAAAAATAAATATTTGATTCCTTGGCAGTTGTGAGTTCAGTTCCTGAACTAAATATTTAAATATTAACTGGAAGAAACAAACAAGTAATGCAAAAGGGAATAAAATTGATTAGTATTATACGATGCAAGATATCCTTGAAATATGAAAACTCAATAATCTATCCTATGGATTGCATAAAGGGTTTGGTTCAGAATTCCGAAAAGATTACAAATTAAACTTCTGAAGAAGACTGGATGGTACAACGGCTGAAACATTGTCAGTATAGCAAGTAGTATGACATAACGTTCAATCAGTTTCAAAATCAGTAATGTTATAAATATGCAAATGCATATGCATTTAAAGAAAATGCTATTTATAAAAAATATAAATAAGCATGACCTATGATCCTGCTGTCAGAGCATTCTTTCTTTTGAGGAAGTTTTAAAATAATTATTAGTCTCATCACACTGTTTTATTCAGATTATATGAGGTCTGATCAAAAAGTATTGGGACTGTTGTTATGGTAATAGACTTAAAGTATGCAGAGTGAAGCCACTTGGCACAGATTAACCTTGAACACTGTTGCACTTACACACTAAGTTATAACATTCTCACTCACTTCTGTTGTTTATAGCAGTGCTTGGAAGGAAAGTGTGTAGAGTGTGGTTGTCTCTGTTTCAGCAGTAACCATGGCTTGTGCAGCAGTTTTTGGAAAAAAAAAAACTTTCTTAATATGCTATCCTTGTTCAAGATAGGTTAAAGCATTTATAGATTCATTAAAAAAAAAGTTTTAAAAGTCTACAAATAAATCAAGGGACTATACTTTGGTTGAAACAATAATAAAATCTAAAATATTAGGATATAATCAATGAGCAGTGTCAATCAGTACATTTATTTTTTTTATTTATTCATGAGAATGTTTGTTTTTTGTATTGCCAGATGTACTTGAACTCTAACTAAACCAACTTTTAATTTTTTCTCCCATTTTGTGTTTTACATGACTTTATAAAGTCTTCTTCAAACAACATTGCAGTTTTCATGTGCTTTTGATGTACCAACCAGAAATAAAGCCTGTTCCTTGTGATTTCTTGTTTGGACAATGCACATTGCAATAGTGGCATCATAGGCATACCAAACTGTTATTCAGATATAATTTCAAATCTCATGAGAAGTGATTTCTATTCTTGGTTTCAGAGAAATCCATGAAAAGAAAAATTCTTCCAATAATCAAAGTTTTTCATAATGATAACAAGGAAGTAATCCTCAATGGCTGTTTGATCTTGGCACGATTCCAACATTGGTACAGATCAAAGATATTGCACACAACAGGGATAAAATTGGACAGTGAGAAAAGAGGACTGACAAGTTGAGAAAGACAGAAATCTCCATTTGTAAAATCCTAAAAGCAAAAGAAAATATGAAACCTATAATTAGATGTCCATTTTAATTGTTATAATACCAGATTTTACAATGATCATTAATCAGCTATGTTAATGTCATTATGAACTAAATGAACCCTACAAGAAAATGTTTGGCATTCATTGACTGAATAACCAGTACTGCTTTCAGCTGAAATTTCTAAAAGTTTTTCAGAAAAATGGGTTCTCTCAAGTTAGTAATAGCAGTTATTTTTTTTTCCAGTATTGATGGGGGTTTCCTGCCAGACCTTTTATTTGAACTAGTTTGGAGTGTTAGCATCTTGATGATGTGATTATTTTCTTTTTGAGTTACATGTGCTATCTATTTTAGTTGTTGCTGCTGTTGGTACTCTTCAAGTGATGTGGTTTCTATTATCCTATACTTTTTTTTCTATTTTTTTTTTTTTGAAGCATTAATAATTTCTTTTATAAAAATGCATTGCTGGTAATATATTTTTTCTTTACAAAAAATGTATTACTGGAAATATATTTTCAATTTTTTTTCCAAAAACTATTTGCTAGTAATTTTTTTTTTTTTTAACTATGAAAATGTATTGCTGGCACCTTTTGTTTTTTTTAAGCATTTCACCCCAAGCAAGGAGTGAGAGCAAATAGGAATGATAGAGAAAAGGATGAAGAGAAGGATAGGGGATAGATCAAGGCATCTGGAGACATCGATTGATATTACATTTGAATAGTTGGAGATTATAGCTATCAGGGAAACAGGAAAATGGGAGGGAGTTCCACAGGCGAGAGGTGTAAGACATGAAGCTTAAATTCATGAAGTCTGGGAACCAGTGAAAAATAGTTCTTTCTTTGTTGTCTGCAAGGTTCAAAGACCCTCAATCAAAACTTTTTTTTACCAATTGATCTTAGAAAGTGGTTGTATAAAGCTGAGAGGCTACATATTTCAGGACAGGTTCGGCACCATACATGATATTATGAAAGTCTTGGTGAGGCAATTTAAGAACATGACTCTAGTTTTCAGGTTGATGTTTTGATTTTGTAGCAATTTGCAGTGTTGGGTAAAACTACCTCTGGTGCAGCCCATTCTATTTTCTTCATCTTCAAGGTCAGCATACTTAATCTCTCAGTCATGATGACTGAGGGCTTGAGCATGCTGACCTTTTTAGATTATTGATCATGCTAGATAACACGATCTCTCCCAGAAACTGTAACTAAGGTCTGCTCAGCATAATTGCAGTACAAACCACAGGTGGGTTCTGCAGGTGTTGAACAAATACAAATGTGCCTGAGCAAGCATCTGTAATAAGGATGGGCTAGCTGTCTTATTAGATGGGTATCCTACAATACAAGTGGCCAGCTATTATATATATATATATATATATATATATTAAAGAGAGAGAACAGTAAGATTTTTAATTCAGTGTTCTTATTAATTATTTTTATTTAAAAAAAAAAAAACAGTCCTCAATACAATGATAAAAATATATTTATTAATTTAAAAATATGGTTCCATCACTACACATTTTTGTATCAAAATAAGAGTTACTTTTGAAATGTGGTTAAGTTAAGGTAGGGTAGGGGTGCCTGTTCAACAAATGATGACATCTGTTTTTAGCATGTTGTCTTTTTTTTTCTATGACAAAAAGTTTTTCAGCTCTTTTGTTTTGCCATTAAATTTGTTATTGTAACAATAGTTGTCAGTGAAAATGAATACCCTAACACCCCTTGTCAAAATGACTGAATTTCCCTTTATCATTAGAAACTAATATTAAGAATGTATATGCTTATAAAACTCAGTAAATTTAAAAATAAGTTATTCCAAAATTTGCTTGAAATTGAAACAGTACTAGGGATTTTAGTTTAATTCTATAATTAAATTTGAAGTATTTAGTTTATGTTTTTGAAACATGATAATTCCTGTGTAGCAATGGAACCATATTTTTAAATTAGTAAATTTTTATTATATATATATATATATATATATATATATATATATATACACACACACACATATATATATATATATATATATATATATATACATACACACATATACACACACACACATATATATATATATATATATATATATACACACACACACAACCACTCTGAGGAATATCCATATAGACATGCAAAAATATATAAATACTTCAAAACATGCACAAATGTTTAGTAGTCTATTATGATATAAATCAGATCACATGCTGACAGTGATAGAATTGTGGTCAGTTACTCCTGGACTATGTGGGAGGGAATAGAATTCTGCTTGGAAACATATGATCATTTCCTTGATCAAGAGTTTGACCATTGTGTCCAGCACAGACTTTGACCCTTGGCTCTGTGGGAAGAAGTAGGTTGGCATGGCCTTCATTGCACATGAACCCAAGACCAACACAGATAAAGAGAAATTCAAACTAAACACTTTATTTAATCAACAGAGGGTAGATTGGTCTTATTCTGCCGGCCATGTCTAGGGATATCTAAATTTGTTCTTTTATAGTGCTGCTTAGTTATTTTTCTCTTTGTTTCCACTGAGTTTGTACTAACTTACCCAGGGATTGAACTCTCAATCACTCTCTCACCAAATAACATGGAACCATAGGACAATAGTTTTGGGTCATGAATTTGGTGGCATAGTAATTGGGAGTTCAATCCCTGCATTAGGTAGTACAGACTCAATGAAAATGAGAAGGGCATTAACTGAGAAGTACTAAAAAATGTACAAGATATCTATAGGCATAGCCAGCAGGATGAGAACAATTTACCCCTGTATATTAAATAAATAGTTTAGTTTGAAATATCTAAAGATTATCCAAATTGACAGACACTTGAATAAGTTTGTTAAACTGATGATAATGGGTATGTCCCCATTCACATAAATACAGTAGTAAATACTGTATGTTGGTCTGCAGTTAGAGATTCATTGTGGAAATCACTTGACTCACTTCTAGCAGTTGACTACTACTTCTATGTGCCGCTGGTGAATCTTATATGTGTTGTTCTTGTCTTAAGTATTATCCTTCATTACCAACCTTTGTGTGATTATTCTATTCAGTAACCTTCTCTAGGTTATAACATAAACTTTGGCAAATTATGAGGAGGAGGAGGAAAAGAAGATATGGAGGAGGAGGAGGAAAAGAAGATGCGGAGGAGGAAAAGAAGATGTGGTGGAGGAGGAGGAGGAGGAAAAGAAGATGTGGAGGAGGTGGAGAAGGAGGAAAAGAAGATGTGGAGGAGATGGAAAAGAAGATGTGGAGGAGGAAAAGAGGAGGAGAAAAAGAAAATATGGAGGAAAAGAAGATGAGAAGAAGATATAAAGGAGGAGAAGATATGGAGGAAGAAGCGGAAAAGAAGGAATGCTGATAGGTGGCAGAGGAGGAAAAAAAAGATTTAATGGAAAGTAATGATGAAACACAAGAATATGAGAGGCATATAAAGGTAAAAATCAAAGAAAGTTTGGAAAAAGTAAGGAATCGTACAAAAAAGCTGAAAGACTAAACGTTAAAGAGCTGAAATAGAAATAAAAACAACTGATATAAAAATCAAAATGAAAAAATATTAAGAAAAATAGAAAATTGACTAGTTTACCAAATTGTGGGCCTCATCAAATATGACAATATGTCCTTGCAGTTCAATTCCATGAGATTTCCGTGACTGTGAATAAAGAGATATTGAAGAGATAATGAAATTATTTCACTGGCTTATGTATGCATTCCTGTTCTGGCTCTGATGAGAATCAAATTCTCTATAACTTTATAAGACATTAAAGTATTTCTCATCTTACCTATAAATCAAATAACAAAATTGACAGCATATAATCAAGGCACATGCAAGAAGAAAAATTCATAGCAAGAGAACATTTTTTAAAAATCATTTCACCCCAAACAAGGCAGAAATGCCACCACTATGCAGGACTGAAAAGAAAAGAGAAGACTGAGAATAGGGAGGATTGAGGAAAGAGTAAAAGATGAAAGAGATGATAGAAGATAGCAATAAATGCTGTATTTAAATTTTTGAAGATTGTAGTTATCAGGGAAGCAAGAAAACAGAAGGGAGTTCCACAAGTGGGAAGTGCGAGAAAACAAACTCTTGGAGTAGAAGTGGTGTTTGCATTCAGCTGTTTCAACAGTAAAAGGGCGGGACCTAGATGCCGATCTAGTAGCATGCTTAAATTCAGTTAGTCAGGGCACCAGGAGAATAAAGCTTGTCAGAGCAGTTGCTATGAAAATATTTGCAGAATAGACAGAGGGAAGCCACATCATGTTGGTGGGAAAGTGACTGAAGTTGAAAGGCCTGGTCTAATTGATGGTTTGAAGTAAACATGAAACAAATATTAGATATTTCTGAAAATTAATTTATGAGTCGAAAAGATTTTTTGTTTATAACCAGTTGCTCACTTTATGTAGGTATTCTTAATATTTTTTAAACTAATAATAATATTGTTGAAGATGATAGGAAAATCTGCTATGTGCCAGTAGTATAATGGTTATTAGTGCAGAAAGTGTAATCTGGATGTTGAGTTCAAATTCCAGCCAAACCTCCTGTGTTTACTTTAATACAAATGCCCTTGGGGGAAGCCATAAATCCATATCTTCATCTCTAGCTAAATAAGAGTGTAGACTGGATTCTCTAGCCTTGCATGGCAACCAGCCTAAAAGAAGGAAACCTCTGAATTCAGGGCCATAGAAAAGGCACAAGATGTTGCAAGTCTCTCACTGCTCTATCGCTAATTCCTTGAAAAGTGTTCAGACAAACGCCATTTCTTCATGGCTAAGACCCTCCATTGTAGCAAACCACCTTCATACCCTTCGTATTAAATTGGTGAGAAGTTCCTCACGAGCATCTTCTTCCCAAATCACTGCCCTGTGGAATCAACTCCCAAAAAGATGTTTTTACGATCACTACAATCTTAACCTGTTCAAATCTAGGGTTAACTTATCTTTCTCCACCTATCCTGTGCCTTTTACTCTGTAACCCTCTACCTTGAATGGCTCTCGGGTCTTGTACAGAGTAAACCACAAAAAAAAAAAAAAATTAGAAACAATTCTACTATCTTTCCCACAAAGACAGCAATTCATGGATAATAGAGTTTGTGGAGAGCCATGATTGCCTTATTTTCTAAAGGGAATTTGCATATATTTCTTTAAAAAAAAATAACATTTCTGGCAAATATAATGTTACTCTTTCTGAAGCCAACACATTAATGTCAATGAATTACTTAAAATGTTTAAAGAAACTGATTCAATTAACATATCTAAAAGCAGACTCTTAAAAAACAACTAATTAGAGTCAGCCTGTAAAACATAAATGGTTTTGACAGTGACGCAAGTTATAAATCTATATAAATTAAAACAATATTTTAATGAAAATTTACATGGACTCACATAAATGCTTATTTCATAAAAACAAACTAAACTAGCAATTTAAAAATTCTTTATAAACTAATCTTAAATACCTTAATGCAGTTGTTAGAAGTAACACAAGCAAGAATAATAATAAATACAGCAAGCTAGTACAGGGAAGGAATAGTTAAATAATGAGAAATGAGGAAACTTGGCATCAATCACATTAACAAATCGTAGCACAAAATAAAGCTTTCCTAGAAAACAAAAAAGAATAAGATACTCAGAGACTTGAAGTGAATAGTTCGTTTAGGTGAGACATTCTGATCTGATTTTGGTCAGTAAAGAAAAGAGGACCAGCCATATTACTGACATAACCATGTTTCTAACAGGGCTCTAAATTATCTTTTCGATCATTATCCCAGAACTGTCCCAGAAAACAACATTAATTGTTCCCCTTTACGCTAGTTATGCTAACAGTTACTGGATGATGGTCAGGTGACACCTGTTGCTCCTTACCTAGTAAGGAGTTAATTGCAATAGACCTAATCCCCTTTATGTCATTAGCTTTTATATATTGTTTGTTAAATGCCATGACATTTCTTGGGATTGATAGTGTTGTAGCATACCTACAGATGATAATGAGTATGTGCCCATTCACATAAATACAGTAGTAAAGACTGTATGTTGGTCTGCAGTTGGAGATTCATTGTGGAATTCACCTGACTCACTTCTAGCAGTTGACTACTTATTCTACACGCCCCTAGCGAATCTTATGTGTGTTGTTCATATCCTAAGTATTATTGTTCATTACCAACCTTTGTGTGATTATTCTATTCAGTAACCTTCCCTAGGTTACAACAGATACTGGAGTGGTTTCCTGTTGCCTTATCTATTGAGATCAGATGTGATAGCTGGGCATTGACTTATCAAGAGTACTTCTACCCTTTGCTAGGTTTTATTTTTTGTCCTACAGGGTTGTTAACAATGTGCCTCGCTCGAAATAACTTCAACAAGTGCATATATACATTCCATTCACAGACTCATTTTAATTTTATATATATATATATATATATATGTGTGTGTGTGTGGAAAGTGCTAAACAAATTTTTTTTTTATCTGTCTATATTTCAGAGATGAGGTATTATGTACACTATTTACATTATTCGGACTATTGTTCTCATCTTTGTTGCCATATTTATTACATTTCGGCCGCTGTACGCTCCGGCTTTCTTCAGCTGGTTGGAATGTTGAACTGAACCCTTTATTTTGGTCACTGGGGTAGACTGTTCTAGTTCCACGTGCCATGTCTAATGGATGTCAGTTATCAGTTATCCTGTTAATTCCCCTCTTTAAGTTCTCCACCGTCTTAACCGGGTATTGAACTCACACTCTTTGGGTCCTGTCACTAGATCTAACACCTTTATCCAATGTGCCATGGGCCCTTTTTTAAAAAAATTCCAATTAACTTCTTATCATAACTTTCTTGAATTAATAGTGAAAGAAGATTTCACTTTTTAATCTTCAATTGCAGTCAAAAAGTATATCTTATAATCAAAAACTTGAATTTGAAATATATATATATATATATATATATATATATATATATAAGAATATATAAACATAAAATGTTTTAAAATATCTCTCTCTCTATATATATATATGTGTGTGTGTGTGTGTGTGTGTGTGTGTGTGCATGTATGTATTTTTTCTAGCCATTTGTGTATGTTGGTGGTGGTAGGGGAGAAAGCACATCTATGAATGTAAATTATTATGATTTTTGTTTTAAATTCAAAGTAACTTCTGACTTTGACTTACTCAAGTTAATAGTCAAAGATCATTTCACTATTTAATATTTGATTGCAGCTAAAAAGTTTCATAGCTGGTAATTATAAACTTTAATTTAAAACTAATTTTCTTTCCTAGCCATTGGTATTTATTGGTGGCTGAGAAAATTCACTTTATGACTGTGAGACTTGGGTTTGAATATCAACATGGCCGATTTGTCAGGAAAGTAACTTCTTGATGTTATAATGGTCTGGAGGAGGCAATCACAGTATGTGGCATCTTTGGTTTGACCCAAGCCTTGTGAGTGAAATTGGATAGATGGAATCCTTGGGATTATCAATGACTGTGGTAACACAAAATCACAAGTCATCATGACTAAGGATTTGAATGTACTGGCCTTGTTCAGATTGTTGATCATGCTAGATAACCTGCTTCTCTCCCAGAAACTGTAACTAAGGTTTGTTCAGCATAGTTGCAGTATAAACCACAGGTAGGCTATGTGGGTGTTGAACAAATGCAAAATGCATCTGAGCATGTGTCTGAAATAGGGATTAGCTCGCTGCCATAGTAGATGGGTAGCTTCAAATATGAGTGACCAGCCATTAATCAATTAATTAATAAGTAGGGGAGAAGGCATATGTATGTGTAGTCTATGGTAAATATGCACCAGATTGCAATTTGTCAATTGCAGAGACTCTCTCCCTTAGTCTCTCTGACCATTGTGCATTACTTTTCACTGGGATTAATATTTTGGAATTAGGTTTTTCACATCATTTTGCATGTTGGTCTTATTCAGTTTTTTCTTGATGCAACCTTTATATCTCAATTTCAGCTTTTGCACTGGTCTTTTTCCTTCAGCAAATTCACAAACTATAGAGGTGCTATCATCCTATCATCATCTTGACCACTCCATCACAAATACACTGAAGTACCACAGACTCTACTGGAAAATGAACTGCATCCAAGTATATCAAGATCATTCTTTTAATTATATATATGGAAAACAATTTCATTGAAACTAGATTTGATAATGATTTATTGAAAATGAAAATATTAACAGCATTTTTAAAAGTTATTCATTTTCATTCTATTCTTTCATCATGAGAAATGCTAAGATAACAGAAAAAGTACTAATGATTTATTATTTAAGTATACACACAAATACACACATATTTCTTTCTTTTGTTTTTGGATTTGATGAAGCCTAGAAATGTGAAACACAAAACTGAATCGAGTTTCAATGAAACAGTTTTCCATTTGTCAAATTACTCACATAGATATCTCTGCATTTTCACCATGACATATCTGTGTTATAAGTGTGAATTTTTTTTACTTACTCACTTATATAATATATATGATAAAGAAGAGATAGAAAACTTTTCTTTATTCTATCATTCTAGCAGATTCTAATCTGTATATATATATATATATATATATATATATATATATATAGACATTTTATGTTTTTTACATTTTATATATATATATATATATATATATATATATATATATATATATATATAGATATTGTTGTAGCCTGGGGCAGGTTACTGAATAATCACTCAAACGTTGGTAATGAATGATAATACTTAGGACATGAACAACACATATAAGATTCGCCAGCAGCATGTAGAGGAAGTAGTCAACTGCTAGAAGTGAGTCAAGTGAATTCCACAATGAATCTTCAACTGCAGACCAATATACAGTATTTACTACTGTATTTATGTGAATGGCAACATACCCATTATCATCCGTAAATATCCTACAACATACATACACACACATTTTACAGCTTATAAAGAGCAATTTTTTTAATTTTAAAAATAATATTTCATCCTATTCCCTGGTAGTATGTACCAGAGACTTATCACTGGAGCCTCAAGTTGTACTGCTTATGGTTCCAATAAATTGTATTGAGGCAGAGTACAAAGCATCAAATTCTAAAACATGCATCTTATAGGTTACTGAACAGCCTATTTGCATATTTAATTGGGTTTTGAGTTTTTGCCTATGAAACTCATTGATCATTGATATGCAAATTCCCAAGCCAAGACAGAAAAAAAACTAATGTAACAGATAAAAAAAAAGAAACTTACCCTTGCATCCAGAAGGTAATTGTAAGGCATGAAAATGATATCTGCATCCTTCTTAATTTCTCGAGACATGTAATATGGGCAAAGTCTACAAGGAGACATGAAAAAACAGCCATAAATAAGAACAAGAGTGGACCATTATGTTCATAACCTGGCATAATTAGTCATATATTGATCCAACATTTTCACTGAGCAACATTCTGTCTATGAGGCTAACATTCACTATTAAATTAAGTGCATATATCTCTTCAAAGATGAAGAATAGACTTGAAGTAACAGAAATGTAGTTCTACAAGAATGGTGCTGAGAATACCATAGATCAAAGATGTGAGCAGCAAAATCTTAGAGAAAATGGAAACAAAAAGCACACTTATACATTGAAACAGAAAGAGATAACTGAAATTAATATGGTGCATAATGAGGAAAGAGGGCTTGGAAAAATTGACCCTCATTGGACACATTGAAAGCAAAATGGACAGAGGGAAGCAACACATAACCTAACAAGTTTGTGTAAATGGATAGCAAACAGGGTTTAGGAGAGACAGCAAAAAGAGAAAATTTACTAAGAGCTACAAAGGAAAGGAAATTGTGGAGAGCCATAAGTGTCAATGCCCTGAAAGGACATGGCACATAGTAGAAGCAGCAACTATCTAATACCTGGACTATCAGGAATTTTGAAATGAAGGAGTCAGAATTGGGAAACTTGTACAACCTTCAGCAAAACATATGCATGTTTTTTGCCACCCTATACTACAGTTATTGATGCTAATAATTTCTACTTCAGTTTAATAAAAATCCTGTTTGATGCAGATTACAATCCTTCATTTGTCCAAAGTAATTTCTAATATAAATAATACTGTTTATGTTAACAAAGATATTCTAACTTTTTAAACATAGCAATAAGTAAATTATTGCTAAAAAGCTAGAAAAAAATCCTGTTTTTACATTGGAGAGAGAGAATTACATTTACTTTAAGATAAAGTACAGAGTGCGATGGATAAATTGTTATCTAAATTACACAAAAATGAAAATAACCTCATTTTAACAGATATATTTACCAAAATCACACAAAAATATCTTGAAATACTAAAGAGTAAATTTATTCAATAAATGATGATTTTGGAATCTCCTGCAACTCTTTTTAAAGATCTCTACAAGGAATTTTGTTGGTCTTACACTCAACTGTGCCCAACACATAATAATCAATTGGGGTTGCAGTCTGGGGAGTTAGTTGAACAGATGTGAGGGGTGATGTAGTTGCAGAAATTGTCTGACAGCCTTGACTTCATTCTCCTGCTTGTGTGGCATGATACAGAGTCCTATTGCTAGACATAGGGTTTTCCAGCAATCACCTTCTTGACACAGGGTTGCACTACCTCACCAAGTCATTTGATGTAGGCTTCCATATGGAGTCTGATGCTGTATGGGAAGATGAATGGAGGCATAATGTCACCATCACTAGTGATCACTCCAAACACCTTCGTAATCACCATTCAACTCCTAACTCTTTCTGAATTGTCTGCACTGTCCTCATATTGACACCCAAACACTTCAGAATGTTTGTATTGGAGCTTTCTGCGTGAATGCCAAGCAGTACAGCATGGTGTTTCCAAATTTCTGGCAAAGTAAATTGCATTATGGTGCTCTTTTTTCACAGACAATGTCCAACTGACCCTACTATAATGTGCAGTCAGCAAAATCAAACAAACCAATATGTGAGAAATCAAAAATATAAAATGGTGACAATTTCCCCATCACACCCTGTATATACCATAAATTGTGTTGTACAAGTCGACCCTAAGATTTTTAGCTCAAAATTCTGACTTAGGCCTATACCAACTCTATAGGCTGATTCCCAAACTCATGGTAGGATATCAGTGACCCAAAATTTTGGCCTGCCACTAAATGAAGCTAGGCTACAGTATAGAATGTACCAAAACTGTGCCAAAACTACAAAAGGTCATACCACTTATCTATATATTCAGAAACTAAGCATAATATCTGTCTATATATGTTGTATGGCAAACTACCTACAATAGACACCAGTAGGTATTGTATATTGTATCGGTATAACTTAGTGAACATTTAAAATTTGTCAGGTCTACTGATAAGCACATTAAAGTCAACATCAGCTATAAAATATTAATACTATAGGTTACACATCATACCAGGTAGTTTTTTGATAGTACTGCTATGTATCATATGTTATTGTAAAACAGTATCATTTATCCACCATTTGCATCAGTGATGTAAACAAACAACCAGTGATACTATTTTATTATTTAATATTAATTACTGTGTTAATATGCCAAATATAGTCACCAAACACAAGTTTGAGTGGGATATATTTGTGGCAGCCTGCTGAAGTTATGGTAAGTGGTATACAGTAATTGTTAGGAGTGCTGTCCCACCTGTTTACAACTTGGTAATGCTTTGCATTTTATACCAGTAATATAAGTCAAACCCTAGTTTCAGAAAGATATTTTTAAGCTTGGAAACTTGTACAGCACGATTTATGGTAAATACAACACAGACATATTTCAGTTTAATACACAGTGCCTATTGTATTCTCAGATGGTGTATACAGGACATATACAAAAACACGTCTTTCAGTAAAATATAATCTTACTTTTGTTTAGTTCCAATAGAAACTAAGTCTTCAATATCAACAATATTGCCAACATTCTGCCTGGGATCACCATTTTTCTTTAAGGCTGAAAAACAAATAAAAGTTTATTAGCACAAAATAGGAAATATAAACTCGTAATACGTTTAGTTGAAGGACTCAAATGAAATACTTTTGAAGTACAGACTTACGGCAAATAAATGGACACTTAAATGGTAACCACATTTTTAGTAACCCTGGTACTAATCTGATGTTTATAGATAATTAAAAATTACTGGTTCATTATACTTCATGCAAAATTTAGCAAGGTAATTTTTGGGATATAGACCTTCTCCTCAATGTATCTCTCTCTCCCCCTCTCTCTCTCTATATATATATATATATATATATATATATATATATATATATATTTATTTATTTCAGGATTTACACAAAAAAACATAAAAATCGCTACACAACTGTAATCATATATCAATGCATCTCATCAGGCGATTGTAAATTACTAGCAAGGCAACAATTTATCATATATATATATATATATATATATAAAAACAAGACATACCAGGTAATTAGGAACAATTTATTTATTACTATTTTTTTGTACTACAGCTCACCCAATATAAAGCCCAAAAGCCATTGAAAGTAGAGGGTTGCTGAAGTGTATAAAAGTAGAAAGTAAGAAATGTATATTAGGAGGCCATGTAGGATAGATATCCGTCACCTCTAGATTTAAGAGATTATGATAATAGTAATTGGAGAATCATCTGTTTAGCTGTCTATTTCACAAAGTAACAATTCTGGGAGAGAAGCTTTCTGAGTGAAACTTCCTCCTTACGAATGGAATGCAACGTTTGTAATGATATAGCATAACAGGAGGAATTGGTTACTTTCTTTGGATCAGATATATGTGTTCCACTTGAATTCTTGAGTGAGATTGAAACCCTAAGAAACATGCAAGGCTAATACAGATTACAACAGCAGCTCATCATGACTGGCGAAAACTCAAGGTCTGCTCATTAATGATGAGTTATTTTCTTTTTTTATGAGTGTAGCATTTTTAAAATCAAAATTACTCATAAAAAAGAAAATAACTCACTCAGAAGGAAAATTCTAGAGAGTGCCACCATAGAATATTACCCAAATATTAATCTATGCCTAGGTTTTTTCCCCCTTTTCACCTTTCTTAAAATTACTGCTCTCACAAACAAATGTACACAAGAGATTCATAAAATCAAAAGAAAATGGTTGAATACATCAACACAGATATAATGACAAATTCTCCACACATGACAAATACTGACGTTATTTTCAGTCAACAATATGAAAATAGCATTCTGTACATTCCAGTTGCTAGGAACATTGTTTTTATTAAGTTACCTTGTTCAATTAAATTCATTTCATATTTTGTTTTGATAAAGTCCACATTGGATGAAATGTGTCAGCAATTACTAGTTTTCCTATTGTCATTTTTATTCATAAATATTGTCTTCTCTACTGGTTAAATCGGAGAAATTTTTATATATATATATATATATCAAAGTATATAATTGGTATATACGGAATGAATTCCAATAACCAACAATTACTATTCTTAAAAGAGTGCTCAATACAATTTATTGGTTGTGATTTCTCATTGTCTGTCATTGTCTGTGGATGTATGTATGTGTATCTATCGGTGTCTATGTGTATGTAGAGTGTTTTCATATTTAACTGTGTGTGTGTATAAGAGTTAGTTTCCACGTCTCCTTTTTTCATAAAGGGCTGTAGAGATGTTCTTGTATCCCCCCCACCTCCTTTTATTTATTTATTTATTTTTTTTTTTTTTTTAGTGTGTGTGTATGTTTGTGTGTGTGTGTGTGTGTGCGGGTGTGTGTGTGTGTATCTAATTATGTCTGGATGCTTATGTATTATAATCTGATTGTGTTTTTGTTGTTTTTTGGCGTGAGTTTAAGACCACATTCACAAACTTTAAAATAAAAACGGAAAAAAAAAGGGAAAAAAAAAAAAATATATATATACATGTATTGTCAAATGACCGGATGTATTGTAGCGTCTTGTCTTGTCGAACGTAATTTCAATGAAGAAATGAATTGAATAAACATATATATTTTTTCTTTTCTCAATAATTTTGTAGTTTTTAAACTTAATGGTGATTAAATTTGGATTTTAAAATTGCCAGTTTTTAATTTTAATATTAAATTTTATCATATAATTTTATAATTATTAGTTAGTATAAATTATTTTTTAATATTACACGTATTTAAAGATCTGAATAGCTATTATAGCAGGATTTCGTTGTCAAGCTTTTGAATCTTTCTATACTTCATTTTTTGATTGGTTATTCTAGCTTTTGTAACAATGTTTCCCCTAGTGTAGGATCGTTAATTAATCTGAAACTTTTAAAACCATTTATTTTCTTTTCAACATCATCACTTGATAAGACACAGAGTGTGTTGAAACAAAATGGCTATTTTGTAGTGATTTTATAACATACTTATGTTATAATTTTTTATAAAAAAATTATATATATATATATATATATATATATATATATATTACTCACTTGCTTCATGCTACTCAAAGTAGCATGCATATATAACCAACAGGCATAAACTTAAAACTGTCTGTCCTAATACTCCCTTTGTTTAATGGCTAAAGGAAAGGTAATTGAGTAAGTCATTTTCTTATACAAAAAAAAAAAAAAAAAAAAAAAATTGAAGCATGGGAGCAGTTACTATTGTCACCCCAGTTCTCTATTTTTAATAGATATTAACATTAAATTTTGAAGTTTTTCCCCAATTGCTGTTAATAAACAACACTGCATCAAGACTTTTATAGATGATCACTCACTGGTAATATCCAGGTACAATATTTCTTTACTATGGCAATGGAGTTGACATTACAATTTACAAGAAGCTATGCCAATAAGTATAATAAATAAACATTGATTTATTTATTGAATACCTGACTAAGTGCACAGTGGCATTATAGATGCAGCAGTTCCCATGGTAACTGTAAAATCCAGTTCCAAGTTCTTTAACTTAGAATCACATGGGACAGAAAAAGAAACTAAAAGCAACAGTAAAATCACAGCACTTCACCAGCTGGCCAGACATTTTGTCTTTTCCAGTCTTTCTAAAATACAGTCATCTGAACAGAAATCAATTCTAGTGTCAAGTTGTGACTACAAGGTCAAATATTGCAGGCCACAAGATATTTTGAATCAAGAACAATTCTATCAAATGGACAACATGGATATTAAGCCAAATAATGGTCCAAAAAGTTGACTGACAGAAATCAGGATTATTAAAAGAAAAGTTTTTATTGATGGGATAAAACAATACGGACAACAGAATTCATTTGATCACTGAAGTTAAGTAACTTTGCATAGGGCTCTGGAGAGTACTTATATGAATGTTTTGAATGAATAAAAACATCAATATTTCTTTTTTTAATCATTTCACTCCAAGCAAGGCAACAATGCCCCTAAAACACAGAGAGAAAGAGAAGATTGAAAATGAGGAGGATTGAGAAAAGGACAAAAAAAAGGAATAGGGTTCAAGAATATAGAAGATGGTGATTGACATTGCATTTAAATTTTTGATGACTGTAGTTATCAGAGAAGCAAGAAATCAGAAGGGATTTCTACAGTGGGGAAGAGCGCGAAAAGTGGTGTTTGCATCTAGCTGGTCCAACAGTAAAACGGTAAATCTTAATTTCCAATCTAGTAGCATACCTAATATATTTTTTAAAACTCATTAATCTAAAGAACACTTCATTATTTAATAAGATAAAAATAGAATATGCTGGATCTAATCCATTAGAGAAAATCACTTACCACAAATGATATCTATAGTTGTTAAATGCAGTGTGGATGAAGATTTGTCACTAACTAAAATCATTAGGCAATACTTCTTATTCTATGTGCCATGACATTTCAGGGCATTGTCAATTATGGATCTTCGTGTCCTTCATAGCTTTTAATAACTTTTATCTTTTTGTTGTCTCACCCAAACCATGCTCCACCATTCATTCACTAAAGCTCACCAGGTAGGCTGTGCATTGCTTTTCTCTGGTCCTTTTACCTTCAATCTATCCTGTGTATATCAAATCTTCCAAAACCTCTTTCATCATCCTCCTTATGTACCCCAGAAATTTCAACAGTCTATTCTTGATATTAAGTATAAATGTCCTTTTTTGTTGTACTGTCTCTAGAACATTGTTGTTGCTTACATGTTCGGTCCATGGTATTCTCAGTGTTATAATAAGCATTTGTTTGCAAGAAGAAAGGAATAACAAGGATTAGTTTTTGAACAATGTGTATTTGCTTAATATATGCAGTGTCTTACAGAGTTATCTGAAAATCAGTGAAATGTCAATTTCTGTTCCTGATTGTCAGGATGACGATCAAGTGTGAGGGTGGTGCCAGGAGTTAACCTGTTTCTTATGTTGGTTTGACTGAGGTCATAGGATATGGTCATTCATACATGTTGGTCAATCAAGGTCATAGTGGTGGGTCTTTTGATTTGTGTATATTTACTGAACTTTTTCCTATCATATGCTAGTGGTTTGCTACCAATATAGGTTTTGGATTATTTTAATACCCTTCCCGTGTATGACATGTTACCTAGCACTTCCAACAGTTCTTTGTGACATACTTTATCAAACACTTCTGCATAATCTAAAAACCTAGATATAAATCTTTTAACATTTGTATTGTTCTTTCTGATATCATTTTAACTATAAATATTGCATTCCTTGTTCCAGTGTCTTTAACAAAACTGCACTGTCCTTCTTTCATTTCTGGTCTGATTCAGATGTGTGCTCTATTCATCAATATTTGGATGATAAGTTTTGTTATATGGCTCATTAGGCTGATTATCCAATGAAATCCACATTCATCTTCACCTGGATTCCTAGCCATGCTATAAATATGCATCTACTTAAGTCTTCTGGTATAATGCCACTGTTTATATATTTCATTTATTATGTCTGAGATCTTGTGAATATTGAAATCCTCTAAGGCTTCCAGCATCTCTATAATGATTCTATCTGTTTCAATTTAGCCATTGCTGATTCTCTTTCAGA